TTCTGATTGATGACTAGACTCTTTGCCGTTCTTTATTTACCTACGTAGACTACGCGTCGTTTTTTGTTTTCCTTTGAGATATTATAGTTGCCGTGCTTTTTCAATCCAAATTTAATCCCTTTTTTAAACGCGTTTTTTTTTTTCTCCACAAATAAATATAATTTTAAATTTTAGGCGACAAATAAATATCTTTCTTCTCGAACAAATATTTTTTTTAAAAAGTAACGTCTGATGTGGGCCAAAAAAAAAAAAATCTAATAGTATGATGCCTCTCCAAATTTCAATTTAAAATCTACAGCTACTTTTTTTGTTTGTATTATTTGAGAAAAGGATATTTGTTTAGTTTATATGATATTTACACCGTCAATGTTCAAATGTTATTTAGAAGGGGGAAAAATGTTCTTTGAAATATAAAGTCATGTCTAAGAATATGTAAAGAATTGGAATTGTTCATGTGTGTCCATTAACAAAATGTTTAAACGTAGAAGAAACTATATAAATTTAATTAGCGAGTGTTTGAATTGTTCACACACTAATTGAACACGAAATGCAATGAGGTGGATCTCATAATTGTTTCACTACAATTTACAAGTAGTGACAAACTGACAATGTGTTCACACACTAATTTGTGATGTTTTCTAAATTATAATATTTCATATATTTTGTTGTATTTAATGTGATAGTGGGAAAATGTTTGTATGTAATAAGAGAATGGGTATACGATAAGTAAAAAGCTGTAACCAACGTGTAGCTGATATATTTGCTTGTCGACTAAAGAATGACAGATAACTACTGAAATTTAATTCATGGCTAATTCTACTCATCTTAGTATTAGATTTAAACTAATTTTTATCATCGCGTTATATACGGTTTATGGTATAAGAAAAGTGTTAATTGTTTCCCAGGTCAACCTCTTGATGTTGTGTTCTAGAATATTGATTAAAATGGTGAATATACTACTGATTAGTTTTAATTTAATAGCAAGTTGCTCATTTTATTTGGTTATCTCAAAAGAAGTTGTGTATTTTTTTGATTAAGAAAAATTGACGTGGACGGATTTATATGAATAAGATGCGCAGCGACAACTAGAAAAAATTAGAAAGCACATTGCACCCAAATTGTTGGACTCTTTTGACAAAGACATGGTTTCGAAATATTTATTTTGGGTATGTATGTTTTCCAGATATCTTTACATTGGCACATGTGTGTTCCGAATTAATAATCAAACAAGAAACTAAAGTTTCATACATTAATAACCAACCAAAAACACTAAAGTTTCGTTGGTGATATTGTGATGCATGACATGATATGTATAGAATGAGCTGAACATTAATAAAATTATATATACATATACAGTATATTTTTGTTATTGTTTGGTGTGAAATGAGATATAACGAAACAGTCCATACCATTTGATGTCTAAATCTAAACCGAAAATACTGTTTATTTATATAAAGTCAATATATTTTCATAATTTTATATAAAAAGATATGTTGAAAAGAAAGAATAATTAGGCCCATGAATATTTTTTAAAAAGAGAATACTGTTAAAATATGGTGATTTTAAAGGGTAAGAAGAGATTTCAATTCAAATTTTCCGACAACTAACAAAGAAGTTCCAACGAATCCAACAAAGAAATTCAAGCGAAATTGTATTTTTTCCCATCTTACGTTTTTTTTTTTTGCTATGATTAAGTATTTGAGATTTATTGTAGAATCATCTCCGGATTAGCTCAATTAGTTATTAGCTATGGATCGGATTTACAGTATATAATTTTGATTTAGTGACGCAGATTAGTATTTTTTTCAAAAAAGTAACGTCCCGTTTTAATGGTGATGGAAGTTTACGAAGTACTTATTCAATAGTAAATGTAGTTTCTTTTCTTTCTCAAATAGTAAATGTAGCTAAGAGATTCATTATTTCATTTTATAAGTTTGTTTAACTAGTAAATGATGTTATCAGTTTGCATAGCTATGAGTCCATCAAATAAAAATATCTATAGTTATATACGTTAACAATGTAAAGATAAATTATCAAAACACATAAATTTTCTCCATCATGTGGCCTATGGGTTAAATAGCGATTTTTAACGACATACCAAAGTTCATAAATTTCCCCATCTTATGAATTAAAGAGCGGTTATTTAGTTGGTTTCTAACTACCAACAAATAATTTTCAAAAGTTGATTTATCATCATCGTTCATTTGTTAAAGGAACATACATATGTTAGGTAGATTTCTAAAGAATTATCATCAGGCTTTATTAAACTTGTTCAATGGATTTAAGCTGGCTTAAAAAAACACAGATTCAATATTTTTGGATTTTTTTTCTTATTCATGAAAAATCTTTGTAAAAATTAAAATGTTGCATTTGAGACCCACACCTTCTCATATCGAGTCCCAAACCATTTATTGATATAACTTAAACACTTAAAAAAGTGACACTAACAAAGCAAAACCCAAAAGAAGCAACTAATCAAAATCACAATTATAAGTTTTGATCGAATCGAACCTAAAGACTCTACGCAAAACCAAACTTTTACAACCATGATTGCAATTTGTAACCACAACTCAACACTGAAAATTCTAAAAATAATTAGGCGTATTGTTAGGTAGTTTCCTAAAGAATTTTCAGGCTTTATTAAACTGGTTGAATGGCTTTAAGCTGGCTTAAAAAACACATATTCAATATTTTTAGATTCCTTTTTTTTATTCAACAAATTCATACATTAAATCAAAATTGGTCGGTAGAAAGTGTCCCATTGGAATAGCTTCTATCGAATTATCGAGATCTACATGAAAAAAGATATGGTCACGTGCGCGTGCCTCTTTTGCAAGGCCATCGACACAGACAATAAAAGAACGTGGAATAAGACATAGTCGAAAAGTTACAAAGATATCTCTAAGCTCAATAAGGTAGTCCAACTCTGTATGAAACGTTG